ACACTGATCACATTCCATCATCATCATACTCCTCTAAAGATGTTGTCCAAATCAATGAAACTATTGTTGAAGATATAACTGAAAATGCTTCTCCTATTGAAGACACAAGACACTGAAGCGCACTTGACGACAAGTGACACTATTCCGGGATACCTTATTGATCTAATCATTGGAAAAGTATCAGATGGTGTACCTACTCCACGACAAGTGAAACGTAACTTTTTTTGTTTTTCAACCTCTCTCATTGATTGAGACCAAGAAGATCAATGAAGTTCTCAAATATATTGATTGGATTAAGGCGATGCAATATAAATTAAATGAGTTTGAACGACACGAAGTATGAACTCTTGATCGTCACCATGACAATAAATTAATCATTAGCACACGTAGGGTTTTTCACAAAAATATGGATGCAGATGGTATTATTATTAGAATTAAGGAATGATTGGTAGCTTAAGGGTTTACTCAACTGTAAGGACTAGACTTGAAGCAATTCGCTTGTTTCTTATGTATGGATCATTTATGAACTACAATATATCAAATGGATGTCAAGACTGTTTTTTTGCATGAAGATTTTCATGAAGAAATGTTTCTCAAACAACCTTATTGGTTCAAAAGTGATAAGTTTCCTAATCATGTTTAGAGACTGGATAAGGCAGTCTATTGATTGAAACATGCTCCAAGGGCATGTTATGATACTCTAGGGAATTATGTTTTTCAAAATAGATATCAATGAGGTTCGATTGATAATACCCAGTTCATCAAGCAGTCATTCTCGCATATTATTCTTACACAATAATATGATAATGATATCATTTTTAGATCCACTAATGAAGCCTTAATCATAGAATTCTCAAAATTCATGACACACAAATTCGAGATGAGCATGATGGGTGAATTGAAACTAGTAGTTCAAACAACTTCCAGAACTCTCGTGTCAATGAAAATATGTGCAAGAAATGTTGACGAAACCCTGACTAGAAACTAGCCAAACTATCATGTCTCCTTCTATAAAGATACTCACTGATGCTGAAGAAACTGATGTAAATGCAACTATGTACTAAGGAATGGTTGGGTCCCTCCTCTATCTTACACTAAGTTGTCCCGATATAATGTTCTATACTAGCATGTGTGCTCGCTACCATGCCATTCCAAAAGAGTCACATATCCATGCAATCAAAAACATCTTTAGATGGTTACAAAATTCTCGAAGTCTATGAATTTAGTATTCTCATGACCCCCCTTTGAATTTGTTGGTTTCACTAATTTTGATGATACAGGTTGCTCTCTGGATCGAAAAGTACAACTGGTCGTTGTCGGTTGTTGGTAAATAGATTGATAAGTTGGTCTAGCAAAAAACAATCAATTGTCGCTTGTTCAACCGTTGAAGTTAATTATGTTGTTGTTGGTAGATTATTTGCTAAAATTCTTTGGTTTCCGAATCAACTTATTGGCTATGGATTAAAAATTCTCAAAACCCCTATTTGCTGTGAAAACACAAGCATTATTCTTATCACTCAAAATCCCATACAACACTTCAAAACCAAGCATATAGAAAATAGACATCATTTCATCATGGATAATGTTGAAAAAGGGAAGATCGAGCTGATGTATATTCCCACTGATGATCAACTCGCTGATATTTTCACTAAGCTGCTTGATAAGCACAATATGACTTTTCTCACTAGTGAAGTGGGCATGCTTTTCATTTCCTAAAGTTTTTGGTTCTTTTAAATTTTTTTATGCAGTTTGTCTTAAGTACGTTTCAACTTTACTGTAGTTCTAGTACTTTATTACTTTGCTTTCATAAATTATCAAAATCTACAAAAAAAAATCCTTTTCCTTTTATACAATATATATATATATATATATATATATATATATATATATATATATATATATATATATATATATATATACAGACACACACACACACAAGTCTCTGTTTTCTTTTTACCAAAGTCGTATACATTTCATGTCTTTACTTTTCTAATGATTAATCCCCATGACTTTTTCTTCTCCATCTCAAAGCTCATGATCATCCTTCTTTCATCTTCAAAGATGGATCTGTAACTTTATCATCCAAACAAAATACCATATCGCCTAATCTTGTATTTTCATTTGTTGCAAGATCTTATTAGTAATATTGGTTGCTTAAACCAATCTCAAATGACTCTGCATCGTCTTCTTCGGCATGATCATCCTTCTTTCATCTTCAAAGATGGATCTGTAACTTTCTCATTCAAAGAAAATACCATATCGCCTAATCTTGTATTTTCATTTGTTGCAACATCTTATTAGTAATATTGGTTCCTTAAACCAATCTCAAATGACTCTGCATCGTCTTCTTCGGTTGTATTCTTTCAGTCAAAAGGTGATGTTTGGCGAGTTAGGCACTAAGCATCTTACTATTGACACGAGATAAGCAAGAACCACGTCTAGACAAAAGTTTTCGAAAGCTCTCCATAATTCCTTGTAATCCATCACCCGTTTCTACAGAGTTAGATGATGACACTGATTGTGGAACGTCTAATTTCCATAGACTCCACTCATTGTCTTGCCATCCACCATCCTCTATGCAAGAGCTCATTGTCGAGACAATGATTCTAGCCTCCCATCTCGTGATTTATAATATGTTGCTCCTTTGAGTATCTTTTTGTTGATTTTTGAAACTCAAAGGTCACAAAGATTAGAATATTTTAACTCATTGGTTAGAAATATTGTGTTTCTTCAGATCTCGTTTCATGGTGATGGATATGAACCTTGGAATACATCAAAATTATGGTTTCTTCAAATTATAAGAAATTCTTTCTCTTTATTCTTTTGTGCTAAATCATTTGTTTTGGATCTATGAAATGTGTGTTAATATATCTTTCTTTGAAAGACAAACTTTAATGTGACAGGAATAAAAGAGGAAGTACTTTATGAAAATTCAAATCAAAAGATACACCAAATCCGAACTTTATGATCTTTGTGAAAAAGATGAAAGATTCTCTCTTTTTGACTATTTCCTTTATTTTATTTTGTCTTGTGCCATCTCAAAGAAATTGATGGTAAAGCCTTTATTCTAAACTGAAGCTGTGACACTTAAAAACTTCCCTAGAAGCATTTTGCTAAATGCGTCAAAATCTCTCGAAGTCTCTCATCAGCAAAACCATATGTTGAGATGTCATCGAGTCGCTCACTTAAACTAATTATGTGATACTGTTCACATCTTCAAGATGAGGTTTCCTGGTCCTTCCAAGAAAATTTATAGTAAGGGTTGAGTGTTTCATCCCTTTAACTCGATGATGCTAGCGGTTGAACCATTTCTTGTTGATGAGTTAGAAATTCCATGTTTATTATTCACACGGTTAAACCATAATGTGATTGAGACATCCAAATAACCTCTCTTCACTACAAGTCTTCTGTTATTGAACTTAACAATTCACTGTACAATACCATACACCGATAAAAGTTTGAAATTCAGTGCCAATAGTTAAACTATGTACATATTTTATCACACACACCAAACCAGTCTTACCTACAAATCTTCTAGCAAAGAAGATAATGGATCACTATATTAACCATACAGTGATGAAATTTCAACACTCTATGTCAATGGGTATATTTCGTACTAGAATATACTACACGCATCATACCAATCTCACTCAATTCTTCTTCTATTAAAAGCAATTAATGATTTAGCATATAAAAACATATGCTGATGAGACTTCGTGACACTGTGTAAATAATCTACTATTGTAACAACACAATAGTGTGATAGACGAAACACTCTCTCACTGTTCTGTTGTATTTTTCAGAAAATGAATATTTTATATGAATGGTGATTTAAGGTATTTGGTGAAAATCAAGCTATTATTTAGGGAGGTTATATGATGATGCAAAAAAAGGGAGAATTTTCACTAAAAAGTCAATGTTCCTAGACTCCAATGTTGAATCTAAGGTGGAGAAAGTGATTCTTAGGAGTTCCCAATGACATAAAATCTGATAAACACTATTGAACTGTTGATAAAGGTCGTTTCTCGCTTCTCGCTGACACAGGAAACTTAAGATGGTGTTGACGAATGCTAAGAAGGGTTTTGGTTTTGACATCATTAGATTAGGGGAGATTGTAAGGTTAAAACTTAAAATATAATGAAGTAAAAACCAAGTCACGTTGAGCACATGAGTGTCAGCGTCTCACCACCGCCAACATGAAGTTTACTCTACAAAGTCGTGTCATTTGTTGATTCGTGAACCCTAGCTTTATGCTTGTTCTCTTTGGGAGAACTTTCTTAGTGAAAAATCATTGTGATAAACCATTGTTATTTATCTTTTATTTTAATCTATTTCAATCAAAAACCTACACTTCTTGATTGTTAATAAGTTGAAAAAAAAAATGTGTTGAATTTTATGTTTTAGTATGGCGGTTCGGTTTATACAATTGAGGGAAGACTACAAGAAAGACGCTTCCTATTATCTTCCATTAGCATTAGCATTTTTATATGTTAATTACCATAAGTTAATATGCAATTAAATTAATACATGTCTAATGTGGTTTAAGTAATTCTCATTTTGATTAGTGATACAATTACTTACCAAGTTTTCAAATACCGGCTTATAAGCAATTAAAAACTTGAAAAAAAAATTAATAGTTACCTCTTACTAGGTTTTCATAATATATTTTGCAGATTTTGGTAGAAAGATCACTACTAGAAACCTGACCTACAGCGACGGAATTTGCGATGGATTCTATATGTAGCTAATCAGTGACAGTTTACTGAGGGATCAGCGATAGAACCCACAAATATTTCGATCAAAATAATTATAGTATTTTAGGAAGGTATTACTGATGGATTAACGATGGATTATCAGGATTTTATCGACAAAAAATTATCCCTCGCTAAACCATCGGTAAGTAAAACCTCCTAGCGAGGGAACAACAACAGATTGCAAAAATTACAGGCCTTTTTTTATTGACCCTCGCCAAACCATCGCAGAAATCTACGCCTCCTTTTTTCATTCCCCGTTTTTCTTTCTTTTCTTGTTCCCTCGTTTTATTCTCATTCCTTCTAAATTCTTCACAAAGGAACAATTTCCTCCCAAAGCCCTAAATGACCGTCAAGTCTCTCCTCCGCCCAGGAAATCGCCTCCACCATAGTCAACCTGCATCGCTCGTCTTTGAAGCCTTTGAAAGGAAAACCTAATCATAAAGCACATGCTCGTTGGCTTTCCTTTTGGTCTGTCTCCTTTCCTTGTTGACTCGCCACTTAATTCCCAGATAACGCCTTTCGATCTATTGGTTCATCATATATTGTTGATTTAGATCGTACAACTACTCAGCAGCAACAGCGGCGTCGATCACCTAATAGCGTAGCGGTGGCGGTTCTGTTGGTGATCTAGAACACTTTGAAAACTTTTAGTAATTACAAAAATTACTAATGAAAACGCACAATGAAAGCAAGAAATCGAAAACGCACAACGAAAGCAAGAACGGTGAGTAGCAGCAAACAACTGAAATCGACACGTCCAAAATGTTTGAAGGTTCCAAAAACGATAGAAGCATCAATCCCCAATGTTGGGTTGCTATGAATTTCAAACAATCAATTCCATACGCACTTCTCCAGGTTTTTGTTTTCTCTATTACTAATCCTAAATCAAACCTTGATCCTAATCCTAGCCAATTTCTCAAATCACCCGTAAATTTTAGAAAAATTCAAGTTTTGAATTAAGTTTGGTCATTGTGTTGAGTTTAATTTTAGATTTATGGATTATTGAATCCGACTTGGACTTCTTCAAATTTCCTTTGATTTACTCTGGTTCTTTGCATTAGATTGCAGGTAAATCAACTTACTACAGACGAAGATTAAAACTACATCTTCAGAAAATTAGGGTACACACGATGACAAATTGAAAATTATTACCAACCCTAAGCTTTTACATGCTCCATTTTTCTTTATTTTCACACTTTCCTTCCTTGGTTTTGAGAAATTCGTGAGATTTTTTTTGTTTGTATAGAAGAAGCTTTAGATTGACTCATAACCAACTACTCTACATTGAAATTTTCTGCTTTAAATCTCATTTTTGGTGGCATTTTTGTAATTACTAAAATACATTATTTTCAATTTCAGAGTAGGGTAAGACCAATGTATGTTGGTGGTTGGTTCTATTGATGGCTATCTTATGAAGGTACATATTCCTTTCTCCTAATGAAAGTAAACTTACTTTCTTTTAATCTGCATTGTAATTAATTGTTAGGAGCAAGAAATCCAAAAGATGCTACATGATGGATCAATTATTTTTTAGGATTATCTCATGAAAAGGTACAAATTGCTTAGCGTTCAAAACACACAACCAACTTCTCATTTGCTCTAATCAATGTAGGTGAACCAGAATCCATGAAACTTTTTGGTTGTCATAGGTATGAACAACATTAGTATTCTAGGCGTATGTGAAAGTTCTAGACTTTTTCCCTGGTGAGGTGTCAACTGATCCCATTACTGTTATAAATCACATTTTTTCTTCAACATTTTAGATTTCATTGTAAATCTATAAAATGTGATCAGGAGGCTTATCGGGATATGGCATCTGCACTTTCCAAGGCTGATGGAATTGACTATACTGACCCTGAAGAGGTCAGCAGAAAAAAGAAAACCAAAATATAAATTTCAATTTTTTTTAAATGAAAGTAGGAGGCTAATTCAATCTTTTGCAACTGGAGTTATTGGTTGCAACAATAATGGATCTTGATGCAATGGATGGTAAAGGGAGTGTGTCGTTATTGGCAAAGTGTTCAACTTCTCCTAATGTCAATACAAGGTACATCTTTTCATACAAAAAGACTTAAACGGGCTTCTTCAATGAGGAGGGTATTTACATCATTTGTACAATATATTGTGTCATGTCTTGACAAATTGGGACATTGTTGGACCATCGATGTGATGGGAGCCGTATAGGTAACTGGTTTTATTTTCATGAGGAAAGGGTATTTTGGACATTTAAGTGATGGGGGTTAGATAAGTGTGTGTTTATAAAGTATTAGAGTTTAGGATAGTGATAGCTTTTAACTTGTAGTTTGACATCAGGTTAATGGCATGGCATTGGCACTTCCATTTTTTCATTCTATGGTCTGGGTTTAGGCTTTTGTAGAACACAATCAAATTCTTCTTTAATCCAAAGACTACTGCTAAGGTTCATGTAAGTTCTTTCCATTTTTTATAAAATAGAACTTCATTTTTATAAAAAATTCGAGTTGACTCGTCAATGACTTTATTTACATGTAGGTTTTGGGCAGCACATACCAAAACCAACTCCTCAAAATGATTGATGTCGGGTACGTTTTAAGTTTTTTTAAAATAATATTTCATGATATAAACTTTAAATATTTCATGATTTAAATATAAAATCAAATACTCTCTCGAATGGGATGGGAAGAAAGAATAAGTCGTTCCCAAAAAGGAGCTGATTGAGATAGCCCGAAGGGAGTTGACTCCATTTCTTGAACTTCTTCCACATTCCCAAAATGCCCTTGGCGATGTCTTTGTAGCCCCTTCTGAGTCATTCTAACTAATACTTTGCAAAAGACAATTATACCCTTGTTTATTCTTACATGACTAAATTCATGTTCAGGGGCTCTTCGATTTGCTTAGGAGATTGTCCTCCTGATGCCATTCTCCCTCACGAAGAGTGCAACAAGGCTAACAAAATTGCATATTATTCTGAATTGCATAAGTATGTCTGTTATGTCCATTCTCATTCAATATATATTTTATTTTTTTACCACTTTTATCTTGTTGATAATATTTTTTTGGGTAGAATGATAGGAATCTGATAATACTTTTATCTTGTTGATAATATATTTTATTTTTTATCCATTCTCATATTTTTCAGCATTTGAATTCCAGAGTTCTTGGGTGGTACCTACAACTGTATTAAAAAGGTTGGTTACATGCGATCACAAAAGGGCCAATGGCACCAGAGACCATGAAGGTTAGTTTTGTGATTTTATTCCTAATTAAAAAATTAGTTTTGGTGTGGTAGACCGCCCATTAAGGTCAATACAAATGTTTCAAAGATCAAACCCCAAAAGAGAAATTTCTGAAGACTAATATGTAAACACGGTATTTTCTTTCATCAACATGTTGTTTCATATTTTTTCGTCCGAATCGGAATTCAATTCCATTCTAGTCCTGCATTTAGTTTAGTTTCAAATGAGTTATGAGTAGACAATAATGTCCTTTATCAACGGAAAAGCATGCTTCCAACAAACACCTTCTGTCCTTCCATTGCAGGAAAAAGTAAGTAGAACTCCCTGTAAGTTAAGTTTTGTTTCTTCTTTTTGTTTTGTTGATTAAATTTCTAGTTTAGTTGTTTGTTGCAATCCATTCCTTTTTGACATATTGATGAAGAAATTTCTTTCCTGCAGGAAATACCACAACTCCCTGATCTCAATCTTAAACAAAAAGTAGAAGAATTCAGGAGTTTAGTATCATCAGCTTAGTATCATCAGCTGATAATTTTAAAAAGTTTTGGAATTCATCTCCTTATCATTTGGAGTATCCGAGTGAAGGTGGTAAAAGTAAGCTTTCTACTTTTTTTAACTATCTCTTTCCTACAATAGACTTTCGTTCTATCTATTATGATTTCATATGTCCATTAAGTCTCAAAACTTCTTCTGTTATCTTTTTTTTTTAAACTAATTTTGGTTGTAATTACATGGAAATTGTGGTGGCAGAGAATGGAAGTATTATTAGAAGGCCTCCACATGATGTTAACTATTGACTATGTTCCTGCAGAACTAGGTAAGTAAAACTATATGGTAGTGTTTTGTATAATGGAATCACGATCGGAATGGAATGGTTCTTTCCATTCATGGAATTGAATCAGCCATTCTTGAAGGAATGTGGTTCCCTTCTTCCGTTATGTTAATCTTCATTCCTTACCCTGTGGGTGTTTTTTCATTATCTATATAATTTTTCATGATATACATCTTCTTTAAGAAAAGACTACGAGTTTAATTAAATTACAATTTTATATTAGTAGAATTACTCGAAAATATATATTTTAATCTTATATGAGTTTTAATGAGCTTTGTATTATATTGAATTTTTCTTATTTTGTAAATAATTAATTCGTTAATTAAATAATATATAGAGTAAGCATTTAATTTACATATATTATAAGACATTCATTCCATTTTAGCAAACAAACATATTATTTAAGCATAAAAACATATTGTTTCACATTTTATACCTTAATATGTTTAACGCAAATGACATACTTTATTGATTTTTCTCAAACAGTTGGAAAGAATGTGAGGCCTATGAAGAAGAAAAAGACCCAATGGGATCTACAGTCAGGTTTGTAATTTATTTCGGTTTACTTTAATTCTTAAAATATCTTTTATTTGATAAATTTAATTCTTTTAAAAAATGGTCCTAATACTTTCATTTAATTTTGCATTATAGCATCCTAGATTCTTTTATTCAGTTTATTAATTATTACTTAATTGAGATTTAATTATAATATTGTTTTGGATAGGCCTATAGAGATTGAATTTATTTGAAAATATGAGATGGAATTGAGATTTGGGTACACATACTTGGAAATAAGATTTTGGTACATTACTAAACTTTAATATCTGATATTTTGATGGTTTTGGTAAAACATTGATATTTGATGTTTTTGGATGTTTTGTTAAAATTTCATAGTTATTATGGTATTTTAATATTTGTGTTTGGTTTTGGATTGTATAATTATTTTATATTTTTTAGTATTCTATTATTGTTTAGTTTGGGATTGTATAATTATTTCATGTTTTTAGTATTTTTTTGTTTTAGATTTGTAATAAAAAAATTAATATTATATATTTGCGAGGGATCAGCGACGGAAACAACAAAAATATCACATTCAAATTTTCCTAGGGATCAGCGATGGAATATAAAAAGACAGATATAGAGGTTTGCAAGGGATTAGCGACGGAATATAAAAAGATAGATATAGAGGTTTGCAAGGGATTAGCGACAGAATATTTATTTAGTTTTGTCGCTGATGTCCTAAAATGACGGTATTAAGGGAGCAATTTGCAATGGATATTCCGTTGCTAAAGTTGTCACAAAGGAAAATTAAATCTGTCGCTAGATCTCTTGCTAAGTTATTAGCCACATTTAATTTGGCTATGGAGTAAGTCTGTCACAGATCCGTCGCAAAAGATCTTTAGTGACGGAATAGCAACGGATTTATCAGTCGCTAAAACCCATGTTTCTAGTATATATATATATATATATATATATATATATATATATATATATATATATATATATATATATATATATATATATATATATTATATATATATATTACCAAACAGTTTCCCATCATGTTTTAACCAATTTAAATGCTAATAAATAGTCAAATGGTGATAACCAATTTAAATGCTAATAAATAGTCAAATGGTGATATGTTATTTGGTAGACATATAACCATTATAGTTATATATAACCTGCTACAGCCGGTTATAATAGTTATATGTGAACCCTTTTAACATGTTTGTTACTTTTTTTTTTTTAACGGCAAATCTATTCTATTCTACTCCTACAATTCTCCTAAATCTCCACCTATGTCCCTTACGGGACTTGAACCCTCGACTTCCTAAAATATAAATACAAAACAAAGCTTGAATTAAAATCCTATATTAAAAGAATAGTTCTTTTGCCATGTGTCATCATATTAGACCTGTAACACTGTAAATTTCAAGACAAATTTTTCATTTAAAATAATCATTTTATTCTTAGAAACACTTGTTTAAAATCTCATTCATAGTCGATTTACAAAACATAACTCCATTTTCACTTGCATAGAAAACCAAGATCCTCCAAAATATGACTCATTCTCTGGTGTGTACAATCAAGTCGGTGCCGTCCTGTGATTCTGAAAGAAACCTGAAACATAACACAAAACACTGTAAGCACGAAGCTTGGTGAGTTCCCCAAAATACCACACATAACACATATTAGCCACTCGAGGCTATAACTCTATGGGTCCGTACACCCAAACTCTGTGAACCCTCAGGTTCTAACTCTGGGAACCTTCCGGTTCCAACTCTATAAACATGCACAACATAAATCACATAGAAATAATGCAGTACAACACATCACGTACATATAGCATACAAATACTCTGATCACATAACTCTGGTTACCTACTCAAGGTAAAGTATAGTGAGAAGACTCACCTGGCAAACAGAAAGCAGATATCCCCACACTTGAATCTCGAACCCGCCACCGCCTAACACGTAAGGCAAATACTCTCATGAATATAACACTCGAGACTAGAATCAACCCTATCATGGCACCCTCTTAAGGGTAAAGGACTATTTTACCCCTCTCTTGGCCCAAAGGCCACATCGCTGACCAAGCCCTAAAAGTCAACGGTCAACTCTTGGTTCTAGTCAAAGTCCTCCGTTAAAGTCAACCCTCCTGGTTGACCCTGCTCGCCGAGTCATCCCGTCGACTCGTCGAGTCCCCGTGCTCAGAACTTCCCCAATCCGCGACTCAACTCGCCGAGTCCCACAACTCTGAGTCCACTCACACACAACTCACCGAGTCATCCCTTGACTCGCCGATTCTCGACTCAACCAGGAAATATTTGGGACTCTTCGACAAGACTCGTCGAGTCCAAGAACAGACTCGCCGAGTCTACGGCTATCTTCAACCTACTTGCCGAGTTGTTCATACAACTCGCCGAGTTCCAGGCCATCTTCATCCAACTCGTCGAGTCCACCCATGTGACTCGTCGAGTACCACCGGTCTGAATCCATTCAGAAGCACTCCAGGCCATGTAATTGATCCAAAACATAGATCTAGCCTCCTACAACCCATCCATCACGTAAAGTGGCAAACTTTACGTGAATCCTAAGAGATCTAAGTAATTTGCACATTGGGCTAGGATTTGGGACAAGATGGCTCCATCAACCACTCACAAACAGGGACTTTCATGCACTCTAGACCTTCTCCCTTCCAGATCTAAGGTAGCAACCTCAGATCTAACCTCTAAACTCCAATACATCCAAAGATATGATCTCCAACACCCCCAAAATGATGCATCTAAGAAATAGCAGCTCAAAAAAACGAGATATTACCTCAAAGGAATGCCCCAACTGAAATGAGACTCGAATCCAAACAAAGCCCCTTGCTCCAAGCCTTCAATCTCCCAAAATTCCTTCACAATTACTTCTCAAGCTCCAATCCATTCAACAATGGTGCTTCTTCGTGATTTAGGGTTTTCTGGGCTCAAGGGGTGATAAAGAGGCTGGGAGGGAAACATAATGATCTTTATATAAGGCTCAACCCCGAGAATTAGGGTTTTCTCCACTCAGCGCCTACTCGCCGAGTCCATTACACTGACTCGCCGAGTCGGCCACTTAACACGCGACCAAGTCGCGACTCTACTCGCCGAGTCCGCACATGGACTCGCCGAGTCACTCTTTCCCAATTTACTCTTTTAGCCCTTCAACTCTACTCTTGATATTTCGGGATGTTACAATTCTCCCCCACTTAAATTAGGCTTCCCTCGAAGCCTACAGCAACTCAACTCCAGAAATACTCCCACAACGTGCCACCTGGCCTTAATCGGACCAGTCTCACAAGGCATACCCATCAAAAACTCGAACACACTTTCCCTTTCCTTACGGTTCCTGACCATGTCTCGAACCGGGCACCGATGTACCCTCTGATGACCACACACAACGATTCCGAGAATTACCCATGAAGCATCACACCCCAAATCTCAACAATCACTCGACCCATAAGGGTTAGAAGACATGAACCATCGGATCCCCGATCGAATCCCTCTCTATCCAATCCGTGACGACGGAAAGACCCACTCTTAATCCCAGAGCAACTCCCATGAGTCCTCTTCTTGCAATCACACACCCATGCCGCACCAACCTTCGCACTCTCGGGTTAGGAAAACCCGTCACACTGATGACATCTCTAACATCCCAGAGAAACCACCACTACGCACACAGCCTTGATCAGAATCAAGCTGGAGTCCCAGACTCCATCCCTGCATCCATCCTGAGACTCTTGGCTCTACACCCGCGAATCCTTCCGCGTCCTCAGCAGAGACATCCCATCATGATGTCATTCCATACCACTGTCACAGACACAGTGTTCGACCACCATACTCCAAATCATCCATTCTCACTACAACTTCCACTTCCGCGAATCAACACTTTCCCCAGCAAATGAGGGTCCAACACTTCCTCCCATACAACAGCACAAAGGGTGGCATACCAATGCACTAATGATGGCTGTTGAATGGGATAACTCAACCAAGGAAAAATACGTGCCGCAACTCCCTCCGAAATCTAATACACATGCCCGAAGCATGTCTTTGAGCGTCTGAATCGTTTCGCTCCCTCTGAGGTGTCCTCAGACATCATCATGATAAGCTCTAGCTCATCTCATATCCCTCTTCGAGACTGGCACCAGGTCAGCTTTTGACTCCACAGCTGAGCCTCCAAAGGTCACCCAAATATCATGATCCAAAACATCCCACTAACTTCCTCCCCGTGACCACTATCCCGACCCCGTGACACGCAAGTCATGAAATTCTCTTTTCCTTATGCAAGAAAGTACAATCCAACCGAGGATCGTCTCCACTCTGATCTCTGGTTTCTGCTGCGCATATCCCTTGCGCATCTCACCACATTCCCCGACAGAGACGGGACCCCAGTCTCGCCCCCGTCCAACATCCTGGCTCCAAAAAACTCAATATTAGGGCTACTCAAGCCAAAACACT